GATGGTAGGTCTGAGTTCAGTTTCAAACCTTTAAGAAAATCTTGTATCTCAACAGTCTGGACCAATTTATAAAAGACACTATTTAGAATGTTATTAGCAACTTTCCTAGAAACACATATGAAGATATAGATGGAGATCTCTCAAAAGATTTATACAATAAAAAAAAAAAACAACACTGGATATTTCCAATCTTCCTATTATAGATGATAACTCAATATAATTCTTTTTTTTTTTTTTTCAACGTTTATTTATTTTTGGGACAGAGAGAGACAGAGCATGAACGGGGGAGGGGCAGAGAGAGAGGGAGACACAGAATCAGAAACAGGCTCCAGGCTCTGAGCCATCAGCCCAGAGCCCGACGCGGGGCTCGAACTCACGGACCGTGAGATCGTGACCTGGCTGAAGTCGGACGCTTAACCGACTGCGCCACCCAGGCGCCCCATCAATATAATTCTTATACACACACCTTTTTGTATTTTTATGTTTATATATACAATTCACCATTTGATATTTCTTGAGTGTTTATTATATTCAAATCACCATGAACCACATAGGGGCGCCTGGGTGGCTCAGTCGGTTAAGTGTCCGACTGTTGATTTCAGCTCAGGTCATGATTTCCCGGTCTGTGGGACTGAGCCCTGAGCCCTCCTGCATTGGGCTCCCCACTGAGAGCACAGAGCCTGCTTGGGATTCCCTCTCTCCCTGCTCCTCCACACTCTCACTCACATTCTCTCTCTCTCTCAAAATAAATAAAAACTTTGAAGAAAGTAAATATGCGCTTTTAAATCAATTTTAATTAAAATAACAACAAACACTTAAATGCTTATCAGGTGCCATCTGTTCTAAAATATTTTACATATATTAGTTCATTTAATCCTTGTAAATCTCATGACTCCAATTTCTATTATATGAATGAGGAATATGAGGCACAGAAAAAAGGAGTGTGCTCAAGGTCACACAGCTAATAAGGATATTTAAACCCAGGCAGTCTAACTCTAGAATATGTGCTCTAAACTACAAGGCTATACAAATAATAAGCTTACTCCACTCACTATAAGTCATGGAGACTGTACTCAAGAGTTAGCAGTTTCCAGAATATAGACTACCTTCATAATCCTAGCTTTTCACACAATGACCACGGTTTTTGGTTGCAGATAAATTAATATAAACCCACAATATTTTTAAAATAACATATAGCTCTCAGATGAAAATCTATATAGTGTGCCTATAAAGTTCAACACAATGTAAATAACTGAGATATAGAGAAATTATTTAGGTCATGATAAATCAAAGTTAATGCACCCCAAATTTTCAGAAATGATACTAAAAGGAGTTAAATAAAAAGCAAATTTTAGGTTTTAATTGCCATTAACAGGGCATTCAACATAATGCATTTTTCTATTTGTATTAAATTTCAATCTCATAAGAATCTATACTATACCCACTTTATTACAGCAGCTGGAGACATTTTCAAGGATTGGTACTTGTATTCTATCTTTTAAGACATTCTACTCCATTCTATGCTTTAGATTAGATGAGCTTTTAGATTTAAAAATACTTACAAGTACAATCAAGAGAAGAAATGAGCTTGTCTGATGGTATTTTAATATCTTAGAGTCACTGCATTGGTCACATGCTATGACTCTTACAATTTAGAGACCTAGCTATTCTCCTTTCAAACTATTACAGGCAGATTTCTTAAAATGCTCTCTAACATACTGCATCTAACATAAGCATTAGATACAAGCTCATTTATTTAGTGGAAACTGCTATAACACATAACATTCTTTGTGTTAAAAACCCATATTACTCTGGCTAACTGAATATTACATGTTTTATGTAATAGTTATCACACCATTATTTCATATTAAATAAATACCCTATTTTTGAAAACTGACACCCATGTTTTATAAATAAATTATGTACCTACACCAATGTAACTTCCATATTCCCATCATAAAATCACCTTCAATGCTGACATTTTGATGTTTTAAAAATGCACTAGGATCAGGGCGCCTGAATGGCTCAGTCAGTTAAGTGTCCGACTTTGGCTCAGGTCATGATCTCGCCGTCCGTGAGTTTGAGCCCCACATCAGGCTCTGTGCTGACAGCTCAGAGCCTGGAGCCTGTTTCAGATTCTGTGTCTCCCTCTCTCTCTGACCCTCCCCCGTTCATGCTCTGTCTCTCTCTGTCTCAAAAATAAATAAACGTTAAAAAAAAAATAAAAAAATAAAAAAAGCTGCACTAGGATCAAAAGTAAATCCTTTTCTTTTTCGGTAAGAAGACATTGAAAAATAGCTAAAATTTTAAAAGAACAAAAATGTACATTAAAAAATACTAAGAACAGGGGCGCCTGGGTGGCGCAGTCGGTTAAGCGTCCGACTTCGGCCAGGTCACGATCTCGCGGTCCGTGAGTTCGAGCCCCGCGTCAGGCTCTGGGCTGATGGCTCAGAGCCTGGAGCCTGTTTCCAATTCTGTGTCTCCCTCTCTCTCTGCCCCTCCCCCGTTCATGCTCTGTCTCTCTCTGTCCCAAAAATAAATAAACGTTGAAAAAAAAAAAAATTTAAAAAATACTAAGAACAAAGCAAAACTGGGATGACAAACTACTAAACTGAATTCCATTCTGCTGTATTCAAATGCAGTGGACAACTGCAAGGAAACAGTTGTTTCCTTGCTACTTAGAAAATGGACATTCTATATATGGCCTCATGTAGCTTTTTAAGTGCTAACAATTATGACCCATAAAAAGCAAAACAAAATAATTTTTCAAAACTCAAAAAAAATCAATAAAACACACACAAGGGTTTATACTCCTTAACTCTGTATTATAAATATAGTATTAGACAAAATAGAAAATTAAGTAATAAAGCAATTTAAAATTTTTTATTTTACCTTTGTACTCATATTTCACGAGAACCATATTCATCTATGTCTTTTATGGGAAAAAACGATGCAGGCAGCCTATCAGAATCAATCCCTCAGCTTCCACTGCTAGAAGTGAAGCAGTCTTCCAAAAGGCATTTCCGAAAAACATATCAGGCCTACACTTGGCTTGCAGGACTATCGACATACAGGTTCCAGAATTTACTGGCAACTCAGAATATCTGTACACCAGATACTTTGTCAGGAAGAATGATCTTGAATTTAATACTTATTAATACTTATCCAAAGATTTTATACATATAGTTTGGGGCAATTTCAAAAAATTGATTGATAAGATTTAATTATCAATATTAATAATTAATAGCATATTAATATAAAGCATTTTTATAATGTTGATTAACAACAAAAACAAAATGTTAATGATTAACATTAATTGGTATTGATATTAATATTGTTTCCCAAGGATTAAATAAGAGAAATAATGTTTAGGTAAGTACTGATAAGAAGTAAACTCAAGGTTATCCTTTCTCACAAAGAATCTGGTATACAGATATTCTGGGTTGCCATGTTATTTCTTTTATCTACTCTTTGATTATATATATATTCCATACAGTCCTATATATAGTCCTATAAATACATATATTCCATACCATCCTATAAATACTTAAAAACTCATCTGTCCTTGGATAAACTCAGACCAATACAGAGTGAAATACTTCCAAGAAACAGTATTTGGGGCCCCAGATAATTGTTCTAACTAAACTATACTATATACTAAGTCACAAACTCTTATTTAAGGATGTAAAATATTAAATACCCTTATTTTATGAAAATTGACACTCATATCATTTATTACACTCCCTTTTTTTACTTAGGATTCACCACACTGCACAGTATCCTTCATCTAAAAATGCACAGTCTTGCGGCACCTGGGTGGCTCAGTCAGTTAAGTGTCCGACTTCAGCTCAGGTCATAATCTCACAGTTTGTGAGTTTGAGACCTGAGTCAGGATCTGTGCTGACAGCTCAGAGCCTGGAGCCTGCTTTGGACTCTGTGTCTCCCTCTCTCTCTGCCCCTCCCCTGCTCACACTCTGTCTCTCTCTCTCTCTCTCTCTCTCTCAAAAATAAACATTTAAAAAAATAATACCAAGAGCACACTTTACACACTGTATGTTAGCCAATTTGACAATAAATTATATTTTGAAAGAAAGAAAGAAAGAAAGAAAGAAAGAAAGAAAGAAAGAAAGAAAGAAAGAAGGGACTAACCACATTTCTTTAAAATAAATTAATTAATAATAATAAATAAATAAAAATGCACAGTCTCTTAAGAAACTTTATCTTCTGGAGTCTGGATTCATATAACTGATCCTTTGTTCCATTAGCTACAAAAAACAAATCTGTAGTTTACCTTTGGCAAGCAAAAAGGATTCCATAGCATGTACTGGTAACCTTTTCATCCTTTTGTCACTGTTATTTACTTTATGATTTCCTTGATCAAACATTACTTACTTTGTTGTTATATATTTATTTAACATCATAAAAATTTGTGGAACAAGGTGAAATGAAACAAGGAATTCTAAAATAGCAACCAATAAAGTCATATAAGGAAGATTAACCAGTAAATGAAAAAAAACACCTAATGAATATTATGAAAAATCCTAATGAAAATCAACAATTAAAACCTGACCCTAATAAACTATGGATAAACGTTTGCTATGTAAACGCAAGCATGAAGTAGTTTCTTTCAAAGTAAAAAGGGCTTACCTCAAAACATTTAGTTATAATAACAATGATCATATCTTACTTTTATAATTCACTTGACAGGATTACTTAAGTGAAATCTATTTTCACTTTTACAATTTAACAAAGTTCATTTTTTATATGAGAAATATCTGTACTTTTAAAGACCAAAATTAGTAAAGTTTAAAGGATGCTACAAAACATTACTAGCTCTAATAGCTGAAAATCAGATGCAGAGGTATTATACATACATTGTAAAATAAAGTATTTCACTTTTGCAGAGGGAGGGTAAAGTATATGTAAAATATCCAGTAAACAGTGAAGCCTTATACAAACAGTATTATTTCATGTAAAAATGATGGGAAGTGCATACTTACCCTTCTCCTCCCATTCTTGTTATCTTTAGGCGAAAATCCACAGAATTCAAACTAGGAGGCTTCCATTTCAAAATATCATCACATCGACCAGGTTTATATTTCTAAAGTGAATTAAATGACAGTGATTAATAACAAGCTAAAAAATAAACATATCAACTACTTTTTATAGTATGCTTTGTATTTTCTTAAACTGCAATACAGCTGATATACAATGTTATATTAATTGCAGGTGTACAACGTAGAAGTCTGACAATTCTACACATTACACACTACTCACCACAGTAAGTGTATTCATCATCTGTTGCCACACAAAGTTATTACAATATTATTGCCTATGTTCCCTATGCTGTACATTTCATCCTCATTACTTATTTATTTTATAATTGGAAGTTTGTGACTCTTAATCCCTTTCAATTACTTCTTATTAAGCAAAACCACTACTTCTTTTCTAAATGTAAGTTTTATCTTAACTGATGAGCGAAGCTAGTTACTGACCTTCTTAGTGACAACCTTTCTCCTTTTCCTGCCAAAGTATGCAGACCCTTATTTGTGAAAGTCCATAAAAAGAATGAAACCTGTTATTCTCTCCAATCCTTCTAAAACTGGATAGGAAGTTTGATAGTTTAAAAAAACAAAAACAAAAACAAAAACTGTTTTTTTCTTGTTCAGCTTTACTGTGGCATAATTTACAATGAATAAAGTTAACCAGTGAATTTTAACGCATGGATTCAATCCACTTAAAAATTTCATAATTTGTGCTGCCTTTTGTGCCCTCTTTAAGGAATCTTTGCACATCCTAAGATTGCTACAATTTTCTTAGAAAATTTTACCATTTTAGCTGTTATTTGGGGGTATAAGACCCATCTGAGGTTAATTTATTTATATAGTATGAAGTAAGGGACTAGGTTCATTGGCATATGGATGTCAAATCAATACAGGGCCATTTGTTGAAAAGATTATCTTTCCTCCCTGAGTTGCCTTGGCACCCTTGTCAAAAATTAACCACTTACAGCTACAGATATATGTCTATTCTCACTAATCTGTTACACTGAATAATATGACTTTCCTCCCACTAACAGCACACTGTCTCAACTACTGTGACTTTATAATAATTTTGAAATCTAGTTGTGTAAGTCCTTAAACTTTGATCTTTTTCCAAACTCTCTTAGCTAATGTTTTATTTATATTTCCACATAAATTTGGGGCACCTGAGTGGCTCAGTTAAGTGTCCGACTTCGGCTCAGGTCATGATGTTACAGTTCGTGGGTTTGAGCCCTGCATCAGGCTCTGTGGTGACAGCTCAGAGCCTGGAGCCTGCTTCGGATTGTGTCTCCCTCTCTCTCTGCCCTTCCCCCACTCACGCCCTGTCTCTCGCTCAAAAACAAATAAACATTAAAAAATTTTTTCCACATAAATTTTAAAATCAGCTTGTCAATTCCTATGAAAAATAAGTCTACTGGGATTTTAATTAATATTGCACTGAATCAAAAGGTCAATATAGGGAGATATGACATTTGAACAACACTGAAACTTCCAATTCATGAACATTGCAAATCTGTTTATTTAGGTCTTCCAAAATTTTTTTCAGCAATGTTTTCTGATTTTCAGTATATAAGTCATAACACAATTTTTGTTAAATTCATTCCTAGTAATTTAATATCTTGGTAGGATTATCAATACAAAAAATCAGATGTGTTTCTATAACAAACAATCAAAAAAGGAAAGTAATTCCATTTACAGTAACATCTAAAAGAACAAAATACCTAGGAATAAATTTAAACAAGGAAGTAAATGATCGTATACTGAAAACCAGAACATTACTGAAAAAGTTAAAGAACTAAAAATGGGAAAACATTCCGTATTCATAGATAGTGTGATATTGTGATCTACAATAAGAAATAAACATTTGGTCTTTCTAGTACAAAACTCCTAAAACCCTTGGAATTCCCTAAACAAGGCAAGCAATAGAGGTCTTTTGTCCTGTCAATTGAAGTAGATTTTGGAAAGCACTTAACATTGAAGGCTGGTTGCCAGAGCAGCCAACCAAGTGATTAGCGGGTAGGAATTTTCAGTGCCACTCCCCCAACTTCTGAGAAGGAAAGAAGGGCTAGAGGTAAGATTCAACCACCAATGGCCACTGATTTAATCAGTTGGCCCTATCTAATGAGGCTTCCTTAAGAAAACTAAAAAAAGAGGGTTCGGACAGCTTCCAGACTGGTGACCATGTGAAGACTCAGGAAGAGTGGCAAGCCTGGAAATGGCATGAAAACCCTGTGCCCCTCCCCCAGTCCTTGTCTATGCACTGATTCCACCCAGCAAATTAATCAAACCTGAGGGGGGGTCATGGGAACCTCTGATTTATAGCCAGCTGGTCAGAAGTACAGGTGATAACCTGGGCTTGCAACTGGCATCTGAAGGTAGGTTGAGGAGGCAGCAGTGTTGTAGGACACAGCCCTCAATCTGTGGAATTTGACACTACCTCCAGGTGTCAAATTTGAGCTGAACTGTTGTACACCCAGCTGGTGTCCTAGAATTGCTTATTGATGTGGGGAACCCCCACATACACACTGGAATTGGCCTCAGAATACCAATGTAGGAAGGCTTACTATTGCTAAGATGTCAATACTACCAAAGCAATCTACAGATTTAATGCAATCCCTTTCAAAATTCCAACAGCCTTTTGTGCCTCAAATTCATAAGGAATTACAAGAGACCCAGAAAAGCCAAAATAATCTTGAAAAGAGAACAAACAAAGTTGGAGGATTCACACATCCCAGTTTCAAAGCTTGGTACAAGGCTACTTGTAAACAGAGATACTGGCATAAAAGTAGACATACAGACCCAACGGAAAAGAATTGAGAGTACAGAAATAAACCTATACATCAATAGCCAACTGATTTTTTTAAGAAGAATGCAAAGTCTGTTCAATGGGGAGAGAATATTCTCTTCAACAAATGATGCTGGGATAGCTAGATTTCCACATGTAATATAATGAAATTGGACTGCTTTGTCCCACCATATAAAAACTAAGTAAAACTGGACCAAGGACCTAAATATAACAACTAAAACCATACAACTCTTAAACAAAAGCATAGGGATAAATTTTTATAATCTTGGATTCTTAGGTATGATACCAAAAGCACAAGCAATAAAAGAAAAAATAGGTAAATTGGACTTCAAATTACAAAACTTCTGTGCATCCTAAGACATTATCAAGAAAGTAAAAAGACAACTTACAAAATGGGGAAAATATACAAATCATATACCTAATAAAGATTTAGTATCTAAAATATATAAAGAATTCCTACAACTTAATAACCAAAGACAACCCAATTTAATACTGGCAAAGAATTTGAATAGACATTTCTACCCAGAACATATAAAATGTCCAATAAGCCCATAAGGAGATGCTTACTATCATTACCCATGAAAGAAATGCAAAGCAAAACCACAATGAGATACCTACTAGGGTGACTATCACCAGGGGAAATAACTAGTGTTGGAAAGGATAAAGAGAAATTAGAACCCACATACATTACTATAAGGAAGATAAAATGATGCGGCCACTAAAGATAACAGTTTGGTAGTTCCCCAAAAAGCTAAACACACATTTACCCTATGATTCAACAACCCCACTATTAGGTACACAGCCAAAAAACAAACAAACAAAAACAAACAAAAAACTGAAAACACAGCCCCAAAAAACTGAAAACAGGGACTCAAACAGATACTTATATGTGAATGTTCAGTGTAGCATTATTCACAGTAGTCAAAAGATGAAAACCTATGTTCCATCACTATAAGAATGGATAAACAAAATACGGTATGTATACTCGATGGAATATTATTCAGCCATAAAAAGGAATGGAATTCTAATGCATGCTACAAAAAGAATGAACCTCGAAAACACCATTACAAGTGAAATAAGCCAGACACAAAAGTATAAAAGTTGTATAACTCCACTTATAGGAAATATCCAGAGTAGGCAAATTCATGGCAACAGAAAGTAGATTAGAGGTACCAAGAGCTGGGGTGGGGAAAGGTGAGCTCTCACTTAATGGTTACAGAATTTCTGTTTGGGGTGATGTAAAAGTTTTGGAAATAGTAGAAAGAGTTGTAGAACACTGTCCATGCAGTTAACGAGATTACAGGAAAAATAAGTGTTTTAAATGTATTCTGGCAACACAGTAAGAAAACATTTTAGTTAAGTGAATTAAGAACTGATTATAAAGGAATGATCATTGTAAGCCTTGACAAATGGGTAATATTCACTTATGCAGACTTATAGCATGAAGTAAATACAAATAAAACACAGGAGTAGAAAAATATTAGGATCTACTGAAGGAGAGGCAAGTATGTCTACAGGGAGTGGAGCCATATTATGAGAAAGATATTCACTGGGATGGAAGAATTGCTAAGTGTTCTCATTACAAATATTTTTCTTAAATATAAAAGTCAAACTGCATTCTAACACAGTTTTAAAAATTTGAGAAAAACTGCAAAAACCCTAGTCACAGGATTAGTTATTTCAAACATAAGTCCAGGGGCACATGGGTGGCTAAATTGGTTAAGCATTCGACTTCAGCTCAGGTCATGATCTCATGGTTCATGGGTTCGAGCTCTGCATCGGGCTCTGTGCTGACAGCTCAGAGACTGGAGTCTGCTTCAGATTCTGTGTCTCCCTCTCTCTCTGCCCTCCCCCACTCATGCTCTGTCTCTCTCTCTCTCTCTCTCTCTCTCTCTCTCTCAAAAATGAATAAACGTTAAAAAAAAAAACAAAAAACTTCAAACCGAAGTCCATACAACATCAAATTTAGTAAAACTTACATTGTACTAACAAAGACAAACCATTGGAGCTGATATTAAAGATATTTTATCTGTAGCAAATTTAAAAATATATGCTATTTCCCCCAAGTCTTATGTTTAAACATGAATGAATATAAAATCAAATATATAATATTTCAGTGGAAGTTTCATGCATTTATTTGCCCTGAGAGATTCACTTAGGTAACATACATCTTTCAGAATGATCACAAATAAATCTCTTTAGACTTATTGAATATAATATTTTTAAAAATGCCAAAACTGCAGAATTTTCCAG